TCAGTCTTGCTCCGAAGTATTTAAAGCCGTCTATTTCTTCAATATTACGGTGCCCAGGGGTGCCTTCGACTGGTCAGGCATGCAGCTCGAAAACAAGTTGGTCGCTTACGAATAAGCCTACCAAAGTAACGATTTCATTCACCTGTGACACCACAGACTGTAGATTACCAAAGCTTCGGACTAGCAAGAGGAAATCATCATCAGCGTAGCGTAAGTCAGCTATCTGACGTCCGGATTCAAACTCCGAACTGTCAAAACAAGGTGGAGCACTTTCAATAACCTAGTCAATGACACAGTTTAACAGAATGGACGACAGGATCCAACCTCGCCGAACACTAGGCCGTGTATTGGACAGTGGGGATTGTTGTGAACCAGAACTCGCGCTGTGGCAGAGCGATAGTAGGCCTCCATCATGGCCACAATAGGCCGTGCACTTTGTCCTATATCCCTTCTTGAAGACAAGAACAAGGATACCCGAAACCCGGCCTTTAGAAACTACTTCAGGAGTCAGGTGCGACTATCAAACTCGCTTGAGCATGCGTTACTCAGCTGTGGATGACTGTTTGTGAGGTTTGCAGCTGCAATGGATTGATCCTGTTATTGTAGCATTTGTTGGGAGGAGTTTCGGTAGTTTTCATAGCATGCCCACAATGTCAGCCGCTTCAGATGGAACTTGGATCTGCGGCCTTGCCTTTAAGCTTCTTATAGGACTGACCTTCAAAATAAATGTGGTATTATTCTTATTCCATAGGCGTCAGCTGCACTGGAAACGCAGCAAGCAGAAGCAACCAGGAGACAGGCTAGTCCGAATAAAACGACTGCGCCACCTTGAGGCAAGTCCATGGTAAAAGTCCTGCGAAATTCCGACTAGCTCTAAACCCCAACGGAAGGAGACGAAGTCTTGAAAGGTTGCACAGAGAACCTCGGGCTCGGCCAGGATCTACCACGTTGGTAGACGTTGTTTGTCTCAAGCCGGGCGACGTCTCGTCAGCTATCCAGGCGGTCACTATGCCTGGACTAAAAGGCTCAACTCGTCTCGCAAAGAAAACGCGATTGTGAAATTCAAGCAACCGGTTGTGTTATATGTGCCCGACGTGGTTGGTGGTTGGACTTCCACC